AGCGTGGGGAGCGAGGGCAGCGGCGGGAAGCTGGCGGCGCCCCGCGGAGCCAGCGGAACGGCGACGCCGGAGCGCTGCAGCAGCAGGACGCTCCCGGCCATGATGTAGGCAGCGCCCAGGAAGAGGAAGAGGAACTGTGTCCGCCGAAGAAACCTCTGCAGTCTGTAGAAGGGTTTGGCCATTCCTCGCTGTGCGCCGCCGCCCCCCTCTGGAGAAAAGAAGAAACGCCTCTACTGAAACATCCCCAGCTGTGCCGTGTGGCCTCTCATCCTGGAGCTCTCTTGCTCTTTACGTGTCTGATGGCAGAATAAGCTGGTCCTTCCCCAGTAGCCCGGAGGAGCACGGGAGCAGGTCTGGTCTGCAGACGCTCCTCAGGCAGGAGAGAGGCTCGTCAGGATGTGGCGTTAAAGGGCAGAAGGTGCTGCGGCTCCATGGATCCCGGCCAGATTCCCACGGCACAAGTTGTGTGAGCAGGCTGTCGTGGGGGCGGATCTGTAACCCTGAGGTATAAACAGAGGCCAGTCAGATTCCACTGCAAGGCTTCCAGCTTCAAGACTTGTGTTTTTTTTTACAGCTTGAGGGACCTGAACATCTCTTTGCCTTTTGGTTTAGTGGCGTTTTGAAAAAACGCATTGAAATTATGAACCAGGATTCGGATTTCTCCAACAGGAATCTTCTAAAACTTTCCCTTTTCATATCCTTCTCTGATACAGGACTACAACCTGCTGCTGTCCTGTATTCACCTCAGATTTATTACTGTTTTGAGTCTTTAAAGAATGACCAATGTTATTGGAGCACACCCTATATCACTTCTGTATAATTTACATTTTGTATGTGTCTTTTTACGTCTCCGAATACATAGGTACTTAAAAAGTAAGTAGTATGTACATGTGCTATGCTGTAATAATTACATTATGGGTAACTCGGTATGATACTGGCAAGCATGCTCTCATGAAAAGCTACAGTCATACACTACCAGTGGAAGTCTGTCACATAAGGGTAATATTGGCACCTCGTACTGTATATATTCGTATAGTCCATAAATGCAGTATAGCCTCCATCGTATAACACGTGTTGCTGATTAAAAGGTCTTACAGTATGTGCTGTGTTTCTCTAGGCAATAAGCAGTTTTAATGTAAAACCATGCATACTTCAATCCATCTTTCAGCTGAATATTATTTGACAGACCTGTCACCCAGTAATCTAATTCTATCGTTAATGATTAATTATTAACATCGCAGTTATTCCTTAATTTAAAGAGGTTATTCTGGAGCGCAGTTTATTTCTCGTGTCTTTTTGAGATCGTTCGGAATGTTTTGTTTAGAATCCGATATGGAAACTGGACAGTTCCTGCCAGCAGGTGGTTCTTTCTTCCTGTATTGAAAAAAGGAGGAGGCAAGGAGGCCGAGCACAGAGGCACACAGTGTGTGCTGAAGGCAGACATCAGCAGCTCATGTCCTCCCCAGCTGGGCCAGAGTGAGCTACCTTTCTTCTCTGTAATGAGCCCCACAGTGGAGGAACACTGTGTCCTTCTTTATTCCAAAGTTGCCTTCCGCTTCCAAAAGAAAACAATAAGTATTCTATACATCAGGCCCAGGTGTGTGGTGAGTCCTTTCACTGTTTCTGGAGCTGCATTTTAAAAGCCAGGCAACTGATAATTTCTTTAAACTGGCATTGTGGTGAGATAGAAGAGTCACCCAACCTACCTTGCAGCTGTTTACAGAGGAGCAGAGCTGTGGTCTACAGCCTCTAAACATCATACATTTTTCCCCAACTGTCGAGTACTTCTGGGTTTGTTTTGGGAAAAGGTTGTGCACAGTTTAACAGAGATATTAATATAGACAAAAATACGTCTGCGGTGCAATACTGCTGTAAAAGAACATTGTGTTCCATGTGTTATCACATCTTGTAGTTGTCTGCTTTAGTTATAAAACCCATTTTGCCTTTTGTACTGCTTCTCGTTATGAACAACACATAAAATGCAAGAATCTCTGTTCCCTGGCAACACAGTGTATCTAATCATCCCCATCATTTATTTATATTACCTTGTTTGTTTTACCAGATTGATAAAGATAAGGCTGACACCTTGAAATGGAAGCAGAAAGCATCAGACTACCAGTTTGCTAATAAAACAGCAAGACTCATAAACTGTAGATAATGCATTTTAAAAATGAAGCTGTACAAATCTAACATTTTCTCTTCCCGTCTTGGAACTGCACAAGTCCTGCTGGGCGTTTTGCATTTGACTCTGCATGAAGTGCCAGTTTTAAACTCTGTGAAGGCTCTTAAAACCACAAATGTGTCATTTCCTGATGCAATTAACCCAACTCTTTCTGCTTCATTAAACCCAAGTTATTTTTTTATTTGAGTCCTGGCGTGCATGTTGCCAGTGGTCTTGTGCATCTCGCTGCCATGTTGGCTGTGTGCTCTACTGAAGGCACTCTTTATGAATAGAGAGTAACGGAATTATCTCTTGAGTCGCGGCACCATGCAAGGTGAGCTGTAAAATAAAGGCCATCGTTATTATTTTTCATTTACGCAAACTGGCAGTATAGACTTTGTTATGGAAATTAAACGGGCAGAGATCCAAGTGGGGCAAACCAGCCAGGCATTCACAAGTTGACCTGTGAATGAGTGTGAATTCCTTTGCTTGGTTTTTCCTTTACAAAGAAATATTTTTGCCCCTAACACAATAAAATGCAAAAGTGACCAGTCCCTACCCTTCATTAACCCTCGCAGTGGTATCTCACTCCAAAACAGTTTGTTTTGTCCTCCACCCCCATGGCTCCTAGCAGCTCCTTCTAAATAGCATTGTGGTTGGCCAGGCTCCAGCGATGCCAGGCTCTTTGCATTTTGGAATTGCCAGTGAGGGGCTCTCCGTCAGTGTGGCACCAGTGGAACTGCAGTACTTAGACGGACTTGCCAGTTTTTTGTGCATCCAGTCCATAAGCCAAGTGAAACAATTATCATCGCATCTTGATGTATTATCTGATGAACCCGTCTTTTTAAGTGGCTGTGAAATTTGTGACCGGGCCAGGGGGACCCCACACCGCTGTGAGGTGTTGGGAGCAGAGTGACCTTTCTCCTGCTCCTGTCTGGCAGCTCTGTTGGGGAGGGAATGGGAATGAAGGCATTTTTTTTGGTCTCCTTCCAAAACATCAAGCAGATTGGAAAATTGACCCCTGAGAGCTTTTCTCCAGCCCTTTTAATCTCTACCTGATGCTTTAGGGTCAACTTTAAAAAGCAGTTAGCCATGAATTAATGAGTTTCAGAGAAAGGTAATAACAGTATGGAGAAGCAGAGGCAGGAAAGCTATTAACAACTTCTCTTTATGCTGGGAGAGAACAGTGCAAGAAGAACTACAGTGGATTGAAAACTGCTTTAGAGTCTGTGCATGCTGAAAGTTTCATTTCAAGATTTTTAGTTTTGTAGGTTTTTCTTCTCCCTAAGATCCTATAAAAGTTGCTTTAGTATTACACTTAAATTGAAAAAACTTTGGATTGTAGAGGCTTGAGCACCGTGTACCTGTTAGACATGTGCCGTCTTGATATACACATACTGTACATACAAACACAGCCTTGTTAGTGATGCAGTTTGAGATTTTACGTTTTGTTAAAAGTCATTTATGATTCACCTGACACTGAGGGCTTTGTAAGTGGTTGAAAATAGCTCTGGTTGAATTTTTGAAAAAAGACCAAGGAATGACTTAGCTCCCAGTCGGATAATTGGTTTCCTGGTGAAGTATCAACTGTCATATTGTTAAAAGCGGCACTGAAGAATGCTGGCATGACTACTTCTCTAACTAAACAGTTCTTTTGTCACAGTAACCTCTCGCCTCTCAGTCTCAGCCCGCTTGGCTAGGGGCCTGGATTCACACAAAAGGCCCTGAATTAATTAGCATCCTTGTGCACACTGTAGAAAATAAGAAGCAAATTGCTGAGGAATGCAGTCAGTGCTTCGACTTGCTCTGCTTCATTTACAGCTCTCCACTTGTTAAGGCTTGTCAGCTGCGAGTCTGTTTTGCAGGCTGTTCGTCTGCTGCATTTACACTTGGAAGAAGTTGTCAGAACAGTCTTGCAGTGGAATGAATTTGACTATCGGATGCATTTAGACTAGAACTGAGTGAACGCATTTTTATACTTCCACATCATGCTGGCATCCTGCAGAAGCAGCACCGTGATGCCGTGTGTGTACGTCTGACAGATACGGTCTGAGCCTTTGCTGCAGCAGGCTACTTTCCTTATCAGTGGAAGCAGCACATCACACGCCAGACACAATCATGGTTGTATCAACACGTTGCAGTGTTTGTTGTTCTGGATGGTAATAGAATTTCCTTTCTAAACTGCCTCCTCTTTGCCCCCACCTGTAAAGCGCTGCCAGCAGAGAGCCTGTAGCATGTCACAAAGATCAAGAGCAAAGGCACTCTTCCTATAGCTGAGCAGCTGAAAGACCACGAGGCTGAACTGTCTCATCTTCTCTCAGGTAAAGCTCCTCGTGGGCTTAGAAGAATATCTGTCACAAGGTAAACAAGTAGGCTTCTGGAGACAGAAGTGCCATTCCCATCAAAGTGTTTGTTTGGAATGCATTTAAGAAGGCGTGGGAATGTGGTGATTGGCACTGGTCCTCACTGATCCTGAGTTTGAATCCAAATCGAGGCACCTTCCATGTGGAATCTGCATGCTCCCCATCCATGTTTTTTTGTGAGTTTTTTCCAAGTGCTCCCATCTTCCAAATGCCTACCAAATCGGAGGGGAGGGGTATTGCAATTGGTACAGATTAGATACAACAGCTGTTTCAATACCTGTCTTCAGATACAAGTATGAGACCTGTTATAGGGCTGGGGAGGGCTGGGGAGGCAGCAGTGCCTGCAAGTTGTTCAGGCGTTCAGCTCATTTGGAGAGTCATCTGTGCTCAGGAGTGTCACAGTGCCCTCCTGCTGCAGGAAGAGGATAGCTCCCTCACCCAGAAGGAGTAAATGTAAATCAAGGACATTTGCCCCTGTGGTTGCATGATTTTTTCCCAGCATGCTGTTTTTGCTTTGGTGGTCTGTGACGGGAGTGGAGATGCAGTGTGGCAGGTGAGCCTGTTGCGTCTGTGGTTAACATCCGGCCTTTGTGCATGCGGCTCCCTGGACTTGGGGAAGCAGCTCCACCTGTTCAGTGCTGCCAAAAGCCTTCCCTGTGCTGGCGATGATCCTGTCATTTTCCTTCCCTTTGCATGTCTGTTACCCCCTTCAAGGAAGTTTCTTTTCTCTGGAGACTTTCTCTGCTCCGCTTCATGAAGATCAGCAGCTGCCTGGTCTCGTCTTCCCACCGAGACAGAAACATGCCTGGTGTGTTACCGCCATGCTGTGTATTTAAACATCTTTAGTTGCCTTCAGGCCATATTAAAAGTGGTAAATCCGGTTTGTATTCACATTAAAGATCATTTAATATTTGACTTGGAACTGGCCTGAGAGGTGGTGCACAGGTTGTCACTTAGGCTGCATTAAACTGTGTCA